ATGTAACAACATAACAAGTATACACTTCCGCAGATACTATTACAAAATCCAGCTATGCCTTTGTTACGATTCTCCCATCGATCAAATAACGTGATACATACAGATGCAATCAACCCTTACACAAAAACTGACTAAGTAAACATTGAAGTGTAAAGGGTGTGTAAAAGTACCTTAACATTCACGTTTTTTGGAGCCGAAGCAGTTGCATAATCTCTCAACTGTGATAAACAATACAAAAAAGCAACAATTTATTGATAACATTTCAGATTAAGGACTTCAAAAACATGATATGCTGAACAATGTAAACCCGAGACTACGAGAATTCCATCGTCTCCTGTTATTAAGCTAATCAGAAGATCCGATCGACTGGTTTGTAAGAAATCGATTCCTAACCGGAAAAAAAAAATTGGACTTTTGAGATTCGATTAGTGAGAAAACGATTACCGCAGGGAGAATCGAGGCTCCACGAGGAAAGGATCTAGCAGAGGAGACGGAATCTGAGAAGGAGATGTTCTTGAAGACGGAGATTCCCGATCTGATACGACCAGCGAAAGCCATTTTTGTTGCAGTCAGATAGATTGGAACCCTAGAAATGAGAATGAGTCGGATCAGTTTTGTTTTGTCGAGCACAGAAAGGGCAGAAACTGGTCAGAGGAAGAAAATCACTTAGTGAATTGGGCTTTATTGGGCTCAGACTCATTTTATTGGGCTTACTACTACCGTACGGTGTTGTTTATTGATTGTAAACAAAATTAATTTTTTTGAGGATTATACTTAGGAGAAATGTAAATAGTGGCAAATATTTGATTGTTTTTTTTGCTCAGTTTTTATCAAGAACAGAATGTAACTATGGTTTTGAGAATGAGATATTGTTACAATTTGCAACCAAATTGTTCTGATAAACCAAATTTTTAGATTAGTAGTTTCAGTTAGCGTTGACTTTGTATCATATTTGGATTCAGATTAAATTTTGTTAGTGAGTTTTTTTTTTTTTAAGAATTTATTGTTTGTGAGTTGTGTATGATAAAATAATATTCTTTTTTGAAAATTGTATTTGAACTCTACCAAAGTGTATTTTGTTTTCTTTTCGATCATCTATTCTATGTTGTCACTTTGAATTTATCAATGATATAGAAAAATGTAGTTAGATTTGTTGCGAAAACTCTTTTTTTTTTGTTTCTTTTGAAAATCTTGCGAAAACTCTTGAGAGTGTGATAACACTTGAAGAATTTGTTTTCTTTTATTGCCATCTGAACAAATATGGATTGGCTTGTCATTGTCATTTAATCAATTTTTAAAGTTTTCATTATTGTATACCTAATTATCTTTGCCAAAATTGGTGATATATGGTCTATGACTTTTACAGCAGTATCGAAAGATACAAAACACGATTAGTTGTTAAGGGAAACATGGTGGTCTTGATTTTGTTAATAGATTATTCTTTTTTATATATTTTATTAATAAATTATTCATTTCTTGCAAAATTAGTTAGTATATTTTATTTTTCTTCATTTGTTTATAAACTGATGTAACTATTTTTGGATGGTCACTATCTCATCTTTGACATTTATAATGCATTTATGAGTTGGGATCTGTCTGAGGGATATTTATATAGAACTTTCACATGGAAAGCCTTTGTTTACCTTTTTTTTTTATACAATAAAAAGAGCAATTGACATACTAAACAAACTTTTTTTTTTCTTTGTTGAAATGGACATACTAACAAACTATTAATACGAGCTATTAAGCTATGTTTTCTAATCATATAGTGAAATAAAACATTGAATTTTGATTTTGATTATAAAAAATTAATGAATAAGACAAATTCGATTAGCAATGCAGAAGATGTTAAACCAAAATCAAAATGTCGGTATTAATTAAAAGCTTAATAAATGGGGTAAAAATTAGGAATAGGGAGGAGTTGGAGGGGTAAAACAATAGAACTTTGACATGGAAAACCTTTGTTTACTATTTTGTTTATACAATAAAGAGCAATTGACATACTAAACAAACTTTTTTTGCTTTGTTGAAATGGACATACTAACAAAATATTAACACGAGCTATTACGCTATGTTTTCTAATCATTTTGTAAAATAAACATTGAATATAGATCTTGATTATAAAAAAAAATCGTACAAGACAAATTCGATTTTCGGTGTTAATTAATTAAAAGCTTAATAAATGGGGTAAAAAATAGGAATATGGAGGAAGTTGGAGGGGTAAAACAATAATTTGGAGTGTGCAATGTGAAGTGACACGTTCACTTGTCGGCACAGTGGAGAAGACAACAAATCTTCCTCTCTTGTTCACATATACATACATCATTTGATCAATACTCTTCTTCTTCGCTGTTCAACAAACCCCTTGTTCCTCAATCTTGTCTCTGTTCCATTTTCCACAAAATTTCAATCTACCAAAACGTTTTATTTTTTTTTTTAATGAGAAAGAAAACCTCTCTAACCAAACCACCAAGTAAGTTTTTTTCTTTCTTTCTTATGTTTTGATTCAAATCTTGGAGACAGGCTTCAAGTTTTTGTGGTGTACCTTCATTTTGTAGTAATGTACTTTGTTTTGGTTTTGGTGTCTTGTTGTGTGATCTAGCTTTTTCTAGGGATGTCTTTATCTCAGGAAATATTTGCAGGGTTTTTGTTTTTCCTTGAAATCAAACTATTCTTAGAGTATATGATTCGTCAAATCTTGGATTTTCAAGAAAATGGTAATGTTAGATTTGCACATTTTAGGTTCTCAGGCAATATGTATCCTTAA